TTCTGTTAATCGAAACTCCAAACTAGCTACAGGGAAACTTAAATTTGAAAATTTAAAGATATAGGCCAGCAAGTAAAAATTTTTGAGAGCATCTCAAAAGATTCTGGAAGACGTGGTTGGAGTAGTGCTCAAAATTTTTCTCCCCTTCTCCCCCACCCCCCCCCCCCCTCCCCCCCCCAAAAAAGATCTTGGAATGCCACTTTTCTGCATAACAGAGATCATACCTTTGATACATAGAGCCATGTACTCTGGTAACCTTCACTTTGAGCGTCATGATAGAACACAACCTGCACCTGGGAAGAAGTACAGAAGTCATCCGGGGCGAAGCCCCGGAAATTATGACATAACTAATGACATAATCGTATAGGGATGAATTTAAATGAGGCAAATATAGCAGTGACATTCAAAAGAAGCTCAAAAAAAAACCGAAGGATTGCGTTTTTATGGCCTTTTTGTTGAGAAGAAGGTTTTTATTTGAAAATTCAATCAAAAACTAGGGCAAAATTTCTCAGTTAACCTTCCTCTGAACTGCGGTTGAATGTTGGAAGTTCATTAAAGCCGCTAGAGTTTAATAAAAACGAAAAGCTGCGCTCAAATCTTGCGCAAAGAGTCGCCATATGAATGCTGGTCTATCTCGTCATGGAGTGATTTTCAAGACCCGCGACGTTGTCAGTGCTCCTGGCCGTCTCATGAGGATCACAAAGATATATAATTTTGCAGGGTTTCATTGAGACCCTGTGAAGATCCACGACCAGAGCCAAATGCCCCGTCGGCTCTAGTCTGTCTCCGCTGCTCGTCTGCATCTCCGCGCGCTGCGCGCTACCTCGCTACCTCAAATGCGGGGAGCGGGGCATTTGGCTCTGGTACCCTTTTCTTCGTTGTTCGGAGCCCAATTTCGATAATCTATCTTATATATAAAGCTGAATGTCTGTTTGTCTGTCTGTCTGTCTGTCTGTCTGTCTGTCTGTCTGTCTGTCTGTCTGTCTGTCTGTCTGTACGTATGTTCCGAATAGAAAATTCCATTTCTGAGCCGATCCGGACCAAACTTGGCACACATACACTTCGGACACCGGCGGGTGTCATAGGCTACTTTTCGTCATCGACCGATATCGATTTTATCGATTTTTTGCAAAATTTGAGCTACGGGGCTGGGAGTTGGCACAGGGGGGTAATCGAGCATGCTGATTACGAATATAATAATGACAGGGCCGGGCGGAGCCGGGTAAGTCAACTAGTATATCATATTAAAGCTCTTGATCTCTATTTTCACGCTGACAACGTCGCGGAACTTCTTTTTAGGATTTAAACGAAAAATCCTCGAAAAACGGCGTTTTCGAAAACCTCTTGTTTTTTCTTCAGTTTAACTTTTTTCACTCGGTTTTTTTGTGCATTCGATAGGTCTTGTTTCTGTCTATGATGTAGACAACGTCGCCGAGCTTACTTCTTTGCTTATGCAGGTTTTTTTGTGAAAAATACAAAAAAGTGCGTTTTTCTTTACCTTGTTCTCTTTCTGTGCTTTTGCAGTGAATTTTTTCCAGCTTGGACGATACTTGCTCAGAATGATGAGCGGAAGAATCCAGACAACGTCGCAGCGTACGAAACGACTATGCGGGGGTGAAAATTTAAAGGACGCATCAAAAATCAGATTGGCGTCGATGTGCAACACAACTTTACAGACATGTTTAACATGTTCAATGCAGTTGTTGACAAGTTCTTCTTCTTTCGGTCTCCCAACTAACGCCACAGCTAAACAGCGCTTTTTTGACTGGAAAAGAACTTTGTTGTTGTTGCCACCCAATTTTACCGGCAATCCTGGAGATGAAACTCTGCGTAGGAAACCACCAAGTTAAGGTTTCAGATTTGGTGATGTGCTAACCTCTGCTTTATATGAATTTTCTAAGTTTTCTAATTTAATTTGTATCTCTAAATTTTCGTCTATTTTTCTGAAACAACCTTCACTTTTTATAGGGGCCAAGAACTCAAACAACTATCACTTTCTAGCCCTTGTCTCTTGACTATCGAAGGTATGACAGAGATCCAATCATCGCAAAATTTTACAGGCTATTCCTTGCTTATGGGGAGTTTCGGTAAAGCCCTTTAGATCTTCTACTCTAATAATGGAAAGGAAAATATCGGAAGTGAAGGCTCCACTCTTTTCATTTGGATAATCTCTCCTTTACAACTTCATACCCTGTGATATGAAACAGATTAATTTAATACTTTTTGATGTCACTGAGGCAATATGTAAAGGTGTAATAATTAATTTGGCTTTTCATCGAAAGCAGGTGTTTTCTATCAACAAAGCTATTGCTCTCCTCTTTATTCTCAATCTTTCATTCCGCTACTCGAAGGCTTTCTCTATGGTAGAGCGAGAAGCAGCAGCGCAAAACATTGAGTGCCTCTCGAAAGAAAAACCATAGAATTACTAAATGTCGCATGACAATGAATTCAGCGCAAAGTTTTTACAACAGTCTAGTTCCTCTCAACGACCTCCGTTCGCATTCTCCTTACCTCTTGACTTATAAATTAGTTCTTTTTCACCAACTGTGTTTGCCTACTGTCCACATGCAGCTCTTGCCTATTAGCACAGCTTTGCTAGAATGAGTACTTCAATCTGTAATTTATTCGATAGTACGTTCAAACACCTGATTTCGCAAAAAAAACAATGTTAGTTCTCTAAACCTGTACTCCATTTCAACAACTACCTTGTGTAATTGCACCATTTTCTGAATTTGCACTAGAAAATACAAACTTAGTCAGTACGAGAAATTTTTATGGTGTGAAATCGTCTTCCGTTAGTTTAATGTGGTTCTGAAATATTTTCTTAATCGTAACTGTGATTCCACCCCCATCGATCTGTACCTACGAATTTAGAAAGTTCTGTAATTACACGAAGCGACCATAGAAATGATGACGACTGTATATAATATTTCTGTTGAATACTCGCGATTCATTTTTGAAGTAACATCTCCGGTATCACTGTCAATGATCCGTTGAGAAAAATTTATTTAGGGAACATTTACTGACCTACAAATCGATAATTAAGCAATTTTTGAAGTCTCAAAACATAGTGAAAGAGAAGGTGCGGCTTAGTATGTGTAGGTTAGTAACGAGAAGATCGTTCCATGTAGTGCTCTTGCGTTGCCATCCACAATTAAGCATAAAAAATGGCAATGGGGCGTCGCACATTCATGAGTAGAAAATAACCATGATGGCCATTTCTGGGCGGGGGGGGGGGAGGGGAGGGGGAGGGGAGGGAAGGCGACAATACGCGCAAAATGCAAGCAGAGTAAAATCGTTCTTGCTAATTTTTACAGAATTTTATATATGGCATCGAGTTTGTACCTTCCCCCCCCCCCCTTCCTTCCTTGCCGTCGTGTCACTTTAGCTCCGAAGAGTTTTGGAAAGCACAAGTGAGGATTTCGCCTTCCTCACTACACCCCAATTTTTTACCCGTAAGTGTTCGACGAGGAAGCCCCATGCCAACATAAAGCTAAATCACCTTACAGCTTCAAATGCTCAAAATTACAAGAGCACTGATGTTATTTGCAGTGTTACTCTTCTCTTCTTTCTTTTTTATTAAGTCAGCTCTCAAATTTGCTGTCAACAAAGAGCAAATGGAAAGAAGTCAAGATAAACAGCGTCAAATTTGCGCACCCGTTTTTTCAACAACACTTAACGCGCAAATGTTTCAACAAGCGTGGTCTGCTTCAATTTGACTCCATTAAATTTTCACACATGGCAGGATTCTTGTCAGTCAAACATACGCTGTATTCAGGGAAAATTGCGAAGGAGGGCTGTGGGCGGTAAGGTCTAGAACGTGGTCTCTATACAAAACGATTGAGTCTAAGGTAAGAAAAAATGTTCCGGAGTGCGAACCCTCTTATTCTGGAGAGCTCACACAATACTCTATGTGAGGGGAGGGGGGGGGGGGGGGAAGGGAAGCGAAACAGAGGTCCCGAGAATGTGCGTGACTTGTTCAAACAGCGTCTTAAAAAGTGTGCAAGCCCCTTCAATATTTGAAGTGGCTCTTGAACGCCCATCTTAGGGGTTTCGCCCGACAGGGCATACGAAACTAAATTCTGGAATCTAAATTCTGTACTATTGATGCCTTCGGATTAATAATGAATATTTTCATTTCTGTGTATTCTACACTTCCGTTAGGCTGAATCCCAAAAATTGCTCTTCAGATTGCCCTATTTTTTCAAATTTTCGTTTTGTCACTTTTTTGGATGTGACGAAAGTTGGAGTGGCTTACGCGACCGGTCCTCTGAGAGGCCATTAGCTGAACAATCATCCAGTTCAATGCCAGATGGGTGAGGCACTCAGCTGATGGCTCACCCATCTGGCTCCACTCATGTGGTTCGCTACTAAAACAAAATCAAAAAATAAAAAATTTCGAGACTCACTCTGGTAACTCAACCAGATTTAGACGCACCCTTAGACCAAACCAGTAGATCAAGGATGCTTTCTCACCTGTTTCTCTTCTCTTATCTAACAGTAAATTTTCTAGACAACAATATTCGCTTGTTCTCAACGGATTCGATGCTCCCAGTCGTAAGTAATGATAGAATGAATTGATCGCAATCTTCGAAGATTTGTCACTCAAATTGATGACTGCACATCACCGCAGCTGCTGGATAGAATGCTCGATGTTGATTTCTTTCTGCTTGTATTGATATACGACGAAAATGCAACATCAATTTTCATTAAGTTCAAAGAAGGAAACTGGATTTTAACCTTTCTATCCAAAAAAGTTCCATGTTTTCATTTCATTTTCATTTATACGCTCGAGGCGTTCCAAATCAAAAGCAATGAAGTGTTAGTCAGACATGAAACATAACAGTAACAAAAAAACCACCACGTTTTCCCACGTTAAAATGTTCTATGTGAAAGGTCTCGAAAAGTTTGGTAATATGATATAGTTCTCGATTCTAAGCTTACGCGATCAGAAAATATGCCAATAAGCCGTTCGATTTTTCAGCCACCCCTTCCCTGCAATGCCTGAAGCTGTTTCCGATTTGGCCGTGTGCCGGCGCCGTGCCAGCGCCGTGTTGGAACTCACGTGGGCCTGCACAAATCCAACACGACGCCAACCGGGCGCTGGAACGTCGCTGGCACGGACAATTCTGAACGTGCTGAGTGCACTTGCAAAGTCCACTTTTTTCTCAGTAGAAGTGAAAAGCAGAAATAATGGCCAGACTCGAATGCTATGGTGTAGCACGTTGTAAGACATGAATATCTTGTCAAAAAGGTGTATGTTGTTGGTCAACCTTTATTTTCTGCGATCTAGATGTGCCGAAAAATATCGGATCGTAGCGAGAGAACAGTCGTCCAGACTCGTAGATCAGAAATATAATGCTCTCACAATCAGTCATTTTCTCAATCTATTACACCTGTTGAGCAGAGAAGTCCTTTCGTCTGCTCTATTGGATACTCTGCTGAATAAAGGGCGCTTTCCTGGCTGCACCCCACAAATGGTGTCTGGTCAATAACAGGTATTGATGCTACTTCCGAGCGTTAGGACATTCATAGCACCAGTATTTTCACATAAATGCGTTAGCCCCATTCCTAAGCGTAATCTCTGTAAAACTATGCGTTCCTAAAACTTTTTTATGGTAGTGTTTGTCGAAATCTCCTAGATTGACATCAATTCAAGCGCACGATTGATGTCATGCTTGACCTAACATTTGTTCATTTTTTCCATGCTGACGGCACGTGTTTGCCCGTACCACGTTGAAGTTTACACTTGGAATTGTTTATAGTTTCTTTTTCTATTATATACACTACAGAGAATTTGCTGTGAAGAAGTGCTCATCCTATAGAACATTCTAGCAAGCACATAGTTTGTGCTCTTTTCATTTTTCACGAGCGCAGCTCATGAATTAAGAATAGAATTTTCCTAGAATCAAGAGGTTTTATTTCGCAAATCACACTAGAAAAAGGTGAAAATTCCTCAGAAATTCGACTTGCCCGTCTATTCCTATGTCATCCCCCCTCCCCTTTGCACAAAGTTTTTTTTACGAGAACTCTGCGTTGGCGCGCAGACCTCTTGAGTTATAGATTTCCTCCTAGCGCTCGCTTCAGCTTCCGTCAATCTTGTTGCTCGCCATTTTCCATGAAAATTCCTATAAATAATTGAACAAAGGTTCCAATTTTTGCCATAAACGAGTTCTTGGAAAGCGTTAATATAAGCATCGTCGTACCTCTTTTAGATTGTCAGCTTCTTCCTTCACAGCCATAAATTTTTCTATTCTTCTTCTATATCACGACTTTAGTCATTTATCGCATTTATATCTCAATCAACGCATCTGCTGGAAATTTCCATCTTTGTGAAAACAAATTTTCAAACAGAAATATCTGACTGCAAACAGATCCCGTAATCAAGCCACCACCACTGTCGCTACGAAAATTCAAGTTTTCCATCAAGTGAACTAGTCAACTAATTAAAAAATATCCTAAAGATATGGCTGCTTCTTGTCATTATGCGGTGATAAGGGACGTCATACTTCACTTAAGAAAGCCCAAAAGCTCCGAAAGAGCCCGAAAAGGCCGAAAAAAGCCCGAAAAGGCCGAGAAAAGCCCGAAAACCCAAAAGAGCCAGAAAGAGCCGGAACGCTCTCTTCCGTTTTGGCGCTAAGGCATGGTGTTGATTTCGCAACCGATCCTTTTTGATTCATTTTCTGTCGTCTGCACATCAAAACAACGCCAGAATTCTACCGTAATTTTATTTCCGCGTTCCAGCTCCTTTGGGCTTTTTCAGGCTTTTTTCGGCTTCTTTGAGCTTTTTTGGCCCTTTTCGGGCTTTTTTGTGCGCTTTTGGGCTTTTTTCGGCGAAGTATGACAGGTCCCTAACACCACCTGCGCGATAGGGATCACAATCAATGTTCTACTAAAGACTGGTCGATCAATCAGTTAATTCAAAGAATCTTGAAAATCTGAATTTTCAATATGCAACATTAGAATTACCGACGACACTTGAGCGAAAAAATGGATGTCGATGAACGCACATTTCCAACTGCGCCCCATGATAATTATTTACGCGCAATTGCCGTCGGCAACGTAAGCACACTATCTCAACCATCAAATCAGCTAGTATAATTGAAACACGAGCCTTGTGTGCTTGCCAATTATGGCTATAGAGTGCGGCGACGCCTCACAATTACCGCTATTCGATACAGCATCACCCCTAGGCAATGCTGTGTATATGCATTCCTCATTATTTGGCTTAGTGTCTGAACAGATTCAAGCAACATCTTTTATATTCAACGTGTGCAATCATAACACGTATAGTTTAGTTTTTTGACGGCTAAAATCTGTTCTTACGGTGCTTACAACATTTGCGTGTAAAAAATGGCCAAAGGCCTAAAACTTGCAAATGTGCGCATCGTAGCCAACTACTACTGACGCACATGTCAACGCCTCCGCAGCACTTCACTAATCACCACGGCTAATATACTATAGTCAAATAGATTTGGCTAATAATGTCTGCAGATGCACTCTTTGTGCACCCGTCGCTTGTAAACGCCTTTTGCGCTCTTGGACTGCTATTATGGATGGTTCGTTTCTCATCCGATAGATATGAGTTTTGCTCCATGATTTATTGGAAGATGTTAATCTCTGCTTATAGCGGATGATTGCTGCTTGAAGTTCGCCGCAACGGAGTATTTTTATTGTCACTTGCTCACATCAACCAGAACCATGAAACCTTGAAATTGCTTTCCTGCTTAAATATCGAAGGCACAATCCAAGTTGCATATCGCACCGCGACCACGCCCCTTTCAGTGGGCGTATGTCCGACCCCGCCCATGCAGCCATTCCCGGACGCGTTTTGACATGGCAAGCACAGTCAATATGCATTCTTTGCATTTGTGTTTCTGCTTGGTCCCGACACGATGAATGCTGAATACTCGTCCACACTTTCGAGAAGAGAAAAGGCTTCAAAAAAGTGGTTTAGGAGGAGAATACAATCACTACACCTGATATTTGATAACAAGGCCATGAAAGGGGTCTGAAAATGACGAAAATCTGGATATTGTCGAATATCGTCGGATATCCAGCTAGTTAGCTCGAGTTTGGCTGTATTCATGGAGGCAATCGCATTCGAATGCATAATATGCATCGGCGATTCATAATACGCAAAGACTGAGCGCCGTTGCGTCCGGCCAAGATAGCATGTACTTGGGAGAGGTTGCAGATGGTAAAAGAAACGAAAGAGCGCCTGATCAGGGAGACTCGATACGTCCGCAGTATTTACGTGCAATGAATGGCCTGTAAAGATTATTTTTTCTCTGAAAATTATTATTCAGAGCGCTTAATTTTGTCAATTACGGGACAATGCGTGGGTCGCTTCATCAATTGTGTTCATAACTATGGCCGTTACAGTCTAGTAGAATTGACTCAATATTGTATCTTGCGTTGCCAACAATATTGCGCGTAAAAAATCGCCTTGGCGCAAAACCTGAACTGCGCCCCTTAGCCATATTTTCGCGCAAACGTTGACAACTCTGCTTGAGCACTTTACCAGTCACCAGACCAACACTCTGGTCGAGTAGACTTGGTCAATAATGTCTGCAAACGCAATCTACATGAATTTCTCGCTTGAGCATTTTTCCTTGCACTGCTATTATTAATAGATCTTTTTCATGAGATTCGAAAGATTCGAGCTGTGGCTTAAGATTTATTAAAATCCATAAATCTCTGCTTGTAGCACACAATCGCCTCTTAGAAATTCGTACTAGCGGGCTACTTCAGTACAATTGCACCGTCAATCAAAATTTACGTGACGCTAAGATTTAGATCCAGTCTTCGAAAAACTTGAAAAAATGTGAATAAAGGCATCACTCAAGCCGCCCCCTTCCCAATCAGGGGGTGTGTCTTAGACCCCGCTCTCCTTGACGCGTTTTAGCATGACAAGCACAATCAATACGCATCCTGTGCATCTGCTCTGTGCTATTTATGACAAAATGAGCGCCATCAAAAGCTTCCAATATCTATGTTTTTGAAAAAAAAACTTCAAAAATGGTTTTTGGAGGGGAGTGCGTTCTGAAAACTTCATGCTTGATATCACATAAGGTCTGCAAAAACGTGAAAATATTATGGATCAATCTCCAGTGTCTCTAGTTTGGCTTATGTTCACAATAACTATTGCATGCGGTTCTAAAACGGTAAAATGAGTTTCTCTTTTGAAAAAAATTTTATTTTCTGTTTTCATCCAACTTAAATTTCGTAGTAGAACTCTGGGCTAAGAATTTTTGAGAGATATTGATCTCTGCTTAAAGCAGATAATTTCCGCAAGAAGATCACAGCGGGGTACTTCAGTTGGACCATTTGCACCATCAATCAAAATCTGCTCAAGTATAGGGCTTAGTCTCCTGCAGACAAAAAGCGGTTTCTCTACATAAGGCCGCCAACATACTTCACTTGATTCCGGTCGCGACGCGATCTGGCCATTTGCCAAACGTCTTTATATGCAACACTTGCAATGTATCTATATTTTCGAAGATAAAGTGAATGCCCTATCCTGTGTATTCAGAATGCGCTTACGACCAGTAATAAACAATTGGAGTACTGCCAAACCGCTTGCTAGTATGCTCGAGGCCTAAAAGGCCGGTCATACTTCACGCGATTTCAGTCGCGACGCGATGCAATTCGTCAGAAGTCTTCAGATCCAACACTAGCAAAGGGCACATGTGTAGTGTTTATAACTCACATAAATTGATAAAATATCCTAACTTCTGTACATTTAAAATGTGCTTACAGTTGGGTCATGGACAGTTGGAATATTGCCAAATCGCGTCGCGACTGAAATCGCGTGAAGTATGCTCGACCCTTAATGCACGATGTAGTCATATCTCCTGCAGACGAAAAGCGGTTTCTTTATATACTGCATTGAAATTTCGTAATTTGTTTCTAATTTTCTAATTTCCTATGTTTACACAATTGACCACAATAATATGGAAACATTTCTTTTTCTTGAAGATTTCTCGCGTCTATTCAGAACGCTCAACCTTGTCATGGTTGGACAATGCGTGGGTCGCTGGAATCCAGGTGGAAACCATTGAAAATGCGCTCTGAAAAGAACGACGGACACATCGCGCACATCTGCAGATCCGCGATAAGATCTTGTTAAACTCGAAAAATCACCGCAGTGCCAAGCAGCACTGGTTGGTGTGGGCGAAGCGAATCGATGCGATTGTTTAGCCATACGTCTCGTCCGTCCGTCGTCCGCAGCTCACGTGTGCTCATCGTCGTGCCCACTCCTTAGGCTCTTCGTTCTGTTTGTACTATTCATAAACTGCACTGATTCGTGTAGGCGGAAATTGCTTTACTCCTTGGGAATTTCCCTGTCCTCTTGGGAGCCTTCAATTGTCTTTTTTCCCTTCTTCCCAGCTCTCAAATGTTAAAAACTGATCAATAGCGTTGTATGGCAGTATTTCGAAGATATTTGCGCTGTTTCGCCGATGCTTTGCACGCACGTAAACCCTGGATTACCAGG